GAGGATAATGGGAGAGGATTATTTCGGAGGATCATAGGGAAGGGTCATTTGTGAGTATCATAGGTGAGGATCATTGGTGAGGGTCATTGGTGAGGATCATTATGGAGGATAATGGGAGAAGATTATTGGGTAGGATCATAGGGAAGGGTCATTATGGAGGATAATTGGAGAAGATTATTGGGTAGGATCATAGGGAAGGGTCATTGGTGAGTATCATAGTTTAGGATCATTGGTGAGGGTCATTATGGAGAATAATTGGAGAAGTTTTTGGGTAGGGTCATAGGAAAGGGTCATTGGTGAGTATCATAGGTGAGGATCATTATGGAGGATCATTATGGAGGATAATTGGAGAAGATTATTGGGGAGGATCATGGGGAAGAGTCATTGGTGAGTATCATAGGTGAGGATCATTGGTGAGGGTCATTGGTGAGGGTCATTATGGAGGATAATGGGAGAAGATTATTGGGTAGGATCATAGGGAAGGGTCATTGGTGAGTATCATAGTTGAGGATCATTGGTGAGGGTCATTGGTGAGGATCATTATGGAGGATAATGGGAGAAGATCATTGGGGAGGATCATAGGGAAGGGTCATTGGTGAGTATCATAGGTGAGGATCATTATGGAGGATAATTGGAGAGGATTATTGGGGAGGATCACAGGGAAGGGTCATTGATGAGTATCATAGTTGAGGATCATTGGTGAGGGTCATTATGGAGGATAATTGGAGAAGATTATTTGGTAGGATCATGGGGAAGGGTCATTGGTGAGTATCATAGGTGAGGATCATTGATGAGGGTCATTATGGAGAATAATTGGAGAAGTTTTTGGGTAGGGTCATAGGAAAGGGTCAATGGTGAGTATCATAGGTGAGGATCATTATGGAGGATAATGGAGAAGGTTATGGGTAGGATCATGGGAAGGGTCATTGGTGAGTATCATAGGTGAGGATCATTTGTGAGGGTCATTATGGAGGATAGTTGGAGAAAGATTATTGGGTAGGATCATATGGAAGGGTCATTGGTGAGTATCATAGGTGAGGATCATTTGTGAGGGGTCATTATGGAGGATAATTGGAGAAGATTGGGGGAGGATCATGGGGAAGGGTCATTGGTGAATATCATAGGTGAGGATCATTTGTGAGGGTCATTATGGAGGATAATTGGAGAAGATTATTGGGGAGGATCATAGGGAAGGGTCATTGGTGAGTATCATAGGTGAGGATCATTATGGAGGATAATTGGAGAAGATTATTGGGGAGGATCATAGAGAAGGGTCATTGGTGAGTATCATAGTTGAGGATCATTGGAGAGGGTCATTATTGAGAATAATTGGAGAAGTTTTTTGGTAGGGTCATAGGAAAGGGTCAATGGTGAGTATCATAGTTTAGGATCATTGGTGAGGGTCATTATGGAGAATAATTGGAGAAGTTTTTGGGTAGGGTCATAGGGAAGGGTCAATGTTGAGTATCATAGTTGAGGATCATTGGTGAGGGTCATTATGGAGGATAATTGGAGAAGATTGTTGGGGAGGATCATAGGAAAGGGTCATTGGTGAGGATCATTGGTGAGGGTCATTGATGAGGATCATTATGGAGAATAATTGGAGAAGATTATTGGGGAGGATCACAGGGAAGGGTCATAGGGGGGGATCACTGGTGAGGGTCATTGATGAGGATCATTATGGAGGATCATAGAGGAGGATCATTGTGATGGTCGTTCTTTACGTCATGATTTTAATGTTGATAGACACAACGTGGGGGACACCAGTCGCCGGGGAGAAGATGTTGGCATTGGTTAACACCAGGTCGACACTTCGAACCTCTCTCGGTAAATGAATGTTAAGGCGTCACACCTGTCACACAATTACTGCTGCAGAGATATGGGTAATTATTAATTGGATGTGGGATGTTTGTCTTTAATTATCGACATGCCCTTACTGGCGTTACTTAACCCGAGGTAGCTCCTCGCGAGTCTTGCGTTGAGACATTGAAATCGGCATGATGAAAGGCTACCGCCAACATCATTGACAGATAGATGTATCCACATTTGGTTGGGTTGGATTGTTGTTTTACGCCGCACTCAGCAATAGTCCAGCGTTCTGGAAATAGTCGAGTCTGGACTAGACAATTCAGTGATCAACAGCACGAGCATCGATCTACGCAATTGGGATACGATAACGTGTGTCAACCAAGTCAGCGAGCCTGACCACCCGATCCCGTTAGTCTCCTCTTTACGACAAGCATGGGTTGCTAAAGACCAATTCTAACACGGATCTTCACGGATCGTAAGTGTAGTGTTTTGCCAGGGGCCGGGTTCGATTCCCCACATACGTACAATGTTTGATGTCAGTTTGAACTCTTTTGACGATCTCTGACTATGAACGAATAACAATATAGTGTAAGAGTAAGTTGAGAGAGGTTAGATGTGGACGGATCCAATGTGAGGATGCCACACAGGAATATTTTTATAAATAACCTTTTCCCAGAAAATGCAAAATAACCAATAACGTACAAATATAATGAAAAATAAAACAAATCATTGAAATGATGTATTGAAAGATGATGAGTCGTAATTCAACAAAACATAATTTGTTCTCTCAAATCTGTAAAAGTTAAGGTTGTGTTGAAGCACTGTATATCCCGACATCACAATGGTGAAGGGTGGTATCTCCTCAGCCCCACACATGACAGACTCGACGTATCACAGGTCCCCCCCCCCCAGCCCCTTACTTATCCTCCCTACCAGACCCTGATTACGCAGGATGGAATCTCGTCTCCAGCTGATTGTTGCTTCTAAATAATATACATATCAATGAAACGCGGTTCCTCCGGCAACCGGCTCGAGGTATCTAGTGCAACCCGCATCCTCGTTATCAAGTCACAACCCGAGGAGAACGGATGTTTACTAATGAACGGGGTTATTTCAGTGTATTTAATATGAAAACACATGCTGTATATTTATTGGACGTATGGCCTGCTAGGCCAAGTTTTCATTTTTACAGGATATATAAACATTTCATACTTTTAATAACTTACCTCAAAATGAATGTATTTATTGGTGTTTCAGCAGATTGAAATACTTGCGTCAGATCATTGCTGTTCTGAAATTAGAGAGGCTTATTAAAATAAATAACATAACATACATACGTAACGTTAAAATAACTACAACATCTGTAACATTGAGTTGGTTTGTTGTTTTACGCCGCACTCAATATTCTCCGCAATATTCCATCTATATGACAATCCAGTGATCAATAGCATGAGCATCAATCTACGCAGTTGGGATACGATAACATGTGTCAACCAAGTCAACGTGCCTGACCACCAGATGACGTTAGTCGCCTCACACGACAAGCATGGGTTGCTGAAGATCAGTTCTAACCCGGATCTTCAAGGGTGTCACAATAAGACTTGCGAGTTTAGATTATAAGTTAGTCTGTGAGATAAGACCTTTATCGGTATTTTTTAGAATGATAAATTATGTGTTTTTTACACGTGAAAAACATAATGTAAGACTTGTTAAGATGGTATTCGCATACACTGGCACGTGGCAGCTACTTACGAGTCAGAAAGGATTAAATTACATCTGCAAACGGTGTCTAACTGTGAAATGATAGACCCAGGCCCTTGAAGACGTTCATCATATGAACGTAATCCATGACGCGTCTGAAAAGTAAAAAATAGACATTTTTCCATCTGGGATTAGACTTTCTTACGATTACTTCAAATTCTGGGATTCGAACCCAGACTCCCAGAAAGAGGCACCTAACCGCTAGCACACTCGCTGACTTGGCTGACACATGTCATCGCATCCCAGTTGCGTAGATCGATGGTCATGCTGTTTATCCCTAGATTGCCAAGACTCGATTATTTACAGACTGCCCTCATATAGCTGGAATATTGCCGAGTGCGGCGTTAAACAACTAACCAATCTAATCGCAAGCACACAAAAACTGAATTCTCAGCTACAGCTGATTATGTTAAGTACTTTTTTCGTTAACGTACTCTGATAAACTGGTACGGTCCCATCTGAGCGGGAGGCTCGGTGGCTGAGTGGACCAGGTTTAACTTTGTAGGCTGGCGATAGGATGCCTGGTACAGACAAATCAAATGATGCAAGTATACTAAGCTTCGAACCAGGCAATGGGTACAATGTGTGAAGCCCATTTCTGGTGTCCCCCGCCGTAATATTGCTGGAATATAGCTAAAAGCGCGTAAAACCAAACTCCCACTCTCGAACCCGGCAATGGAAATTGATTTATTTCAGTGAGCAAGTTCACTATTGCGATGTATTTTTTACAGTCGCAAGATGTTGATCAGTTGTTTCAGTGCAAACGGTGTGAGTGACAGGTGCTTTAACCTTTCCTCGAACACCTGGTGTCAGAGGTTTTCAGTGGCTCATTCACACAATGTTCACTGCTAGTTCGACTTGTATACTCAGATGGGTTTAATCTCACCCAGTGGCGGAGGGATTGCTCAATATACTAAGCCTATTGCAGGTGTCCATCACATTTAGAAATGTGCTAAAATCATCGTAAAACCTCACTCACTCTGTCGCTGGCTAATAATACATGCTATACACATGTTATATAAGCGATGATATAAAGTTATCAGGGGCGGTTCCAGGACTTTGAGTGAGTGAGTGAGTGAGTATGGTTTTAAGCCGCTTTTAGCAATATTCCAGCAATATCACGGCGGGGGACACCAGAAATGGGCTTCACACATTGTACCCATGTGGGGAATCGAACCCGGGTCTTCGGCGTGACGAGCGAACGCTTTAACCACTGAGCTACCCACACGCCCCTCCAGGACTTTAGAGAAGAGGGGTGCACATAAATCATAAAGTCCAAAGGTCAGGGGGAAATGGTCTTCAGGGAAGTTTTTTTCGGGGAAAGACCGGAGGGAGATGGGAGGAAGGGATGCACCCCCACTCTGGATCCGCCCCTGTAAACTGATGCCACATCATAAACTAACCGTACATATCTTGTTTGTTTTCCGCAGGTCCGGTTGTGGCATACGACTGCGCGAACGACAACCATTATAGAGCGGACAGATGTATTCAAAGGGTTGACACACGAATATGCGTCTGCTCCAAGAATCTGTGTAATGCGCCGGAAGGCATGAACACGGATGAAGAGGACTATTTCGAAACCAAGACACTACCACCACCATACATAAAAGAAATAGTTCCACAAAAATCCCATGAAAATTCCTGCTGTCATGTATCCGTTTCGTTTCATCTTTTAGCATTCTCAGCATTGATTACAATGTTGGCACATTTTATGTTTTTATCTCGTCCTTGTAACACAGTGGTGTGATGTGGTTCCCGAACCGGTTGTATGTGAATACACCACAGGTAATACTGTATGTTCCATAACTGCTTTATGAAGCTCACTATTCATATCAATTGTTCCTGTATGCTGAGACTGTTGAAGAATGACGCCGTATATTCTGTTAGAATACTGGCCATAACACACATGGGATACATGTATACGAATGCTCACTGAAATGTCGGGAAATGTTGAACAAACTGCATCGATAACAACTTTCATTTTGTGAGTGCGACGTTTCGATACAGGTTCTTGGCCTGCTCGACAACGGTACAAGAATCTGTATCGAAAAGTCGCACTCAACGAAATAACAGATGATATTATCCATAACGTTTGTTCAATAGTGTACTTCCCAACTTCTAAAATGCCACTCAAAGAAATCAGACCATAATTGCGTATCCACACACCAGATCAATATTTGGTAAGCAGTAGTCTTTGTCCACGGTGTGAGCAATTATGTATAGATTTGTGCTTCCAGACATACGACAGAGATTGTGTCCTTTGCGATTAAACAAACCTCTTTAAATTGAAATAGGGGACGAAGAGGTTCGGATAGTCAGGCTCCCTCTCTTGTTCGATGAATGTCATCGTGTCCAAATCGTGTAGATCGGCGCTCTCGATATTAATCACTGGATTATTTGTCTGGTCCATAATCGATTATTTACTGTTATAGTTTGGATATTGCGACAAATAACAATAACAATAAACCATACCGAAATGTTAACCCGGAAACTGTCCGGATTAACAAATGTCCGTATACATGTTCCCAGATGAATATACGGTGGGTATTCGGATTGCAGGGGTTTCTTCCATGTGTGTTGTCTCAATACATAAGAATTACAACTTTTGTCATTCTTACAGTTTCAGCATACAAGGAAACAGTCTAACATGTTTGTATATAGCGCATTTCTACACTGTGCCATGTTTAGCCCCTTTGACTTACTGCTTAGTGCTGGGTGCTTAAAATGCGAGTAGCTGGTCTAGGATAACAGCAGGTGCTCGATCCAGTACTTGCAAGAGATACGTACGCGTTCACCGTTAATATTAAACGTAGCCAGGCACATTTCGTTTGAAATTGATTGTTTACGGATCTTTACAAACCAACTAGCTGGCGAGGTCGAAAAGCTGAGAAAACGTCATCAAGCGGTAGCGGAAGGCTAGAAGATGTACAATTACACATGTTAAGCAGCGTATGGAATGAGTGTTCGATGGAAACCATTAGGTTCACAATGCTTATAATCCAGATCTTATACTTTTCATTTCATCACTTATCAGCTGTTATCCCATTTTACTTATGTATATATTGTGAAGAAAAATAACAACATCGGACGAGAAACGATATTGTTTGTAATTTGAGTTAATGTGATATATCTGTTTCTCTTTAATCAGAGGATCCGTAAACATAAATGTCAAAAGATGTTGCCTCACACTGAGATCCGTCCTTATGACCACTTCTAGACATCAGACCAAGATGTTCGTGAAACCTACAGAGATATAACAACTCGTGTCATCAGTATTATTTAATGTCAACGTGCTATATGACTTTGTTGGTAGAAAAATGGTAGCAGGTTTAAAATAGAAATGATAAAGGTGGACTATCAGTTGGTGTTTGCTGGTTTAATGGTTTCACGTATTCAGCTCATGACAGCCAAACACATGACTCTTTATGTCTAACAACGACTTTATTGTCTACGACAAGGATCACTCTTACACCGGGTCATCTTTCATGTGATGAAGAGGCAATTAAAAAGCTGCTCAGAAAGGTCGTAACAAGCAATAAAGACGTTATTATCCATGTAAGTGTCATGTCGCCATGTTGTTCCAACTTCTAAATGCGTGTTAAATACGCGATAAAGAGTCTAGGAAATAGTAGGACCAAACGTTGTTGTGTCGAACCTGATGTGTCAGACTAAGGCTGTCTCGAAGTAATATATTGGTCCCTACATATTCCTTATTAATCATCATATATGCGGTTGTCTCGAACTTCGAAAACTCATATCTACGTAGTCCCTTCCATTTTCGACAAAATGGTGTTTGACTGTCTATTAAGTCATCCAGAATATTGATGTTTCGCTGTATGCATTGTCTACACTTGAAAACGACACAAGAATAATGTTCAAGGTCACCAGGCCTTTGTGAAAGATTTCATTCCTAGCATAACTCATATCTTGCGTTTAAACTTCGACTGTCGTGTGTCCACTTGTTACAATGCCCTAATCCCAAGTCAAATGTCTTCGCTATCCAACGATATGACAACATACGCCAATGAATACCCGATTGTGCAGCATGCGACAGTGTTCGTGATTCTTATGGATGAAAATATCTGATACGATAAGAACAGATCTAAGGACATCTCCACAGATTTACCCTGAACGACTCGTTACCGCCCATTCCATTCGTCACCACTCGCCTCTTTCCGTAAACTCCAAGAGGCTTTAGTCCCGGAATAACACGAGTTGGTCACGAATGCGCCAATTCTTGATTAAAACGTATGTTTTATTCAGCCAATCAGATGTCAGCTTTCAAAATGATTTAGGGTAATTTCTTCATCACCTGGATTCGGAAACGAACGATTTGAACAGACAAGAACCTACAAATGACATAAAGATGTCTTTGGTGATTCTCCCCTTTGGATGTAGGTGACACGGAGCTCTGAGCGAAATATATATGATATGTAAAATAACCGCAACTGTATGTACATTCGCGAAAGGTCGTTTTAGCTCGTTTGCGTGACTTAACGCATTCGAGCCGAGTATTTTAGATCTCGACACTGATTGGCTGATCAGAACGTTCGCCAGACGACGCCACCTTCACAGGTGCCCTCTGAGTTTCACGCATGGAAATAATATGTAATGTAATGAGACCTGAAAGTAATCTGACACGATTTCACGTAAGTCTAAAATATTTTACGTGCGCTTCAATGTACCTGTGTCGTAGAAACATCAGCTTAGGACGCTTTTCGTTAATATCACAAAGTCACGGTCTCGTAAAAATTACGTCGTTTACATTGAAGGCGAACACATCTGTAATAACGAATCTATTTTGTCATTAAATGACCAGTTCTATTTATGTGACCTATGCCTTTGATGTATATAATTCTCTCATTAGAAATAAACAACCAAGTTGTACCAGTATGTAAAGAACATGTCACTATTAAAGTGTATTATTAATTTGTGTTTTTGTTATGATTAACATACAGAAATCAGCTACAGTCATCAATACTAGCATACCAGAAATCTATAATATTATACCAGTATTGCACTACCTCAGTAACCACTCATCGGTGCTGTTTTGTATTAACACATGGATATTGCCACAGAAGCTTCGTACTGGTATTGTCATATGGTGCTGACACATCTGTACTATCAAAGTACAAACTCATCAGAAGTATCATTGTAGTAAAATACAACTGAGTAACACATAGTAACTGGGAAAGTGACGTGTTAGTAACACTGGAAACCGGTACACAGAGTAACAACACCCAAGGAATAACACCAGTAACACACCAGTAATGACACCAATACTCCCAGAGTAATAACTGGAGAACTGTCGTGTTAGTAACACTGGAGAACTGTCGTGCTAGTATCACTGGAGAACTGTCGTGTTAGTAACACTGGAGAACTGTCGTGTTAGTAACACTGGAGAACTGTCGGGCTAGTATCACTGGAGAACTGTCGTGTTAGAAACACTGGAGAACTGTCGGGCTAGTATCACTGGAGAACTGTCAAGTTGGTAGCAACTAACACTGGAGAACTGTCGTGCTAGTATCACTGGAGAACTGTCAAGTTAGTAGCAACTAACACTGGAGAACTGTCGTGCTAGTATCACTGGAGAACTGTCAAGTTAGTAGCAACTAACACTGGAGAACTGTCGTGCTAGTATCACTGGAGAACTGTCAAGTTAGTAGCAACAAACACTGGAGAACTGTCGTGTTAGTATCACTAGAGAACTGTCAAGTTAGTAGCAACTAACACTGGAGAACTGTCGTGCTAGTATCACTGGAGAACTGTCAAGTTGGTAGCAACTAACACTGGATAACTGCTAGTAACAGTGGAGAACTGTCGTGTTAGTAACAGTGGAGAACTGTGGTGTTAGTAACAGTGGAGAACTGTCGTGTAAGTAACAGTGGAGAACTGTGGTGTTAGTAACAGTGGAGAACTGTCGTGTAACTAACACTGGAGAACTGTCGTGTTAGTAATAGTGGAGAACTGTCGTGTTAGTAACAGTGGAGAACTGTCGTGTAAGTAACAGTGGAGAACTGTTGTGTTAGTATCACTGGAGAACTGTCGGGTTAGTAACAGTGGAGAACTGTTGTGTTAGTAGCACTGGAGAACTGTCGTGTTAGTAACAGTGGAGAACTGTCGTGTTAGTATCACTGGAGAACTGTCGTGTAAGTAACAGTGGAGAACTGTCGTGTAAGTAACAGTGGAGAACTGTCGGGTTAGTATGACTGGAGAATTGTCTTGTAAGTAACACTGGAGAACTATCGTGTTAGTAGCACTGGAGAACTGTCGTGTTAGTAACAGTGGAGAACTGTCGTGTAAGTAACACTGGAGAACTGTCGTGTTAGTATCACTGGAGAACTGTCTTGTAACTAACACTGGAGAACTGTCGTGCGAGTAGCACTGGAGAACTGTCGTGTTAGTAACAGTGGAGAACTGTCGTGTTAGTAACAGTGGAGAAGGAACTGACGACAAACTGTATTACCCTTCACAGGAATCCGCCGTGCATCCTCACAAAGCTCATATGTATAATAGTTAAATATGAACAAATACAAACATAAATAAACAATACCTTGTCAAAAGGGGAAATATTCTGCCTATTTATTCTAAAACCCTATATTTGATGGAGTAAAAGATTTTAAAGCCCTGTTTGATTTTAGTTTTGGAAGCTGATAATGTCCGCCAGATGGTAAAGGTTTACACTCAGAATGTTTACGAAATGTGAGAGGAATCACTTAAAATCTTGAACGCTTTTCGTAGATAAAAGATAGACAGTCAAAGTCTATTTTAAATGTTTACAATTTTGTTGAGCTTGTTATTGTTTTGAACCGAGAGTCCCCCATACGAGCACTGGATTTAGCACGTTCAAAGTAGTAACCCACTAGCAATAACACGTGTACCTTCATAGTAGTAACCCACCAGTAATAACACGTGTACCTTCATAGTAGTAACCCACTAGTAATAACACGTGTACCTTCATGGTAGTAACCCACCAGTAATAACACGTGTACCTTCATGGTTGTAACCTAACAGTAATAACACGTGTACCTTCATAGTAGTAACCCACCAGTAATAACACGTGTACCTTCATAGTAGTAACCCACCAGTAATAACACGTGTACCTTCATAGTAGTAACCTACCAGTAATAACACGTGTACCTTCATAGTAGTAACCTACCAGTAATAACACGTGTACCTTCATAGTAGTAACCCACCAGTAATAACACGTGTACCTTCATAGTAGTAACCCACCAGTCATAACACGTAACCTTCATAGTAGTAACCCACCAGTAATAACGTGTACCTTCATAGTAGTAACCCACCAGTAATAACACGTGTACCTTCATAGTAGTAACCCACCAGTCATAACACGTGTACCTTCATAGTAGTAACCCACCAGTAATAACACGTGTACCTTCATAGTAGTAACCCACCAGTAATAACACGTGTACCTTCATAGTAGTAACCCACCAGTAATAACACGTGTACCTTCATAGTAGTAACCAACCAGTAATAACACGTGTACCTTCATAGTAGTAACCCACCAGTAATAACACGTGAACCTTCATAGTAGTAACCCACCAGCAATAACACCTGGACCTTCATAGTAGTAACCTGCCAGTAATAACACGTGTACCTTCATACTTGTAACCTGCCGGTAATAACACGTGTACCTTCATAGTAGTAACTCACCAGTAATAACACGTGTACCTTCATAGAAGTAACCTACCAGTAATAACACGTGTACCTTCATAGTAGTAACCTACCAGTAATAACACGTGTACCTTCATAGAAGTAACCCACCAGTAATAACACGTGTACCTTCATAGTAGTAACCAACCAGTAATAACACGTGTACCTTCATAGTAGTAACCCACCAGTAATAACACGTGTACCTTCATAGTAGTAACCCACCAGTAATAACACGTGTACCTTCATAGTAGTAACCTACCAGTAATAACACGTGTACCTTCATAGTAGTAACCTGCCAGTAATAACGTGTACCTTCATAGTAGTAACCTACCAGTAATAACACGTGTACCTTCATAGTAGTAACCTACCAGTAATAACACGTGTACCTTCATAGTAGTAACCCACCAGTAATAACACGTGTACCTTCATAGTAGTAACCCACCAGTAATAACACGTGTACCTTCATAGTAGTAACCTGCCAGTAATAACACGTGTACCTTCATAGTAGTAACCCACCAGTAATAACACGTGTACCTTCATAGTAGTAACCAACCAGTAATAACACGTGTACCTTCATAGTAGTAACCTGCCAGTAATAACACGTGTACCTTCATAGTAGTAACCCACCAGTAATAACACGTGTACCTTCATAGTAGTAACCTACCAGTAATAACACGTGTACCTTCATAGTAGTAACCCACCAGTAATAACACGTGTACCTTCATAGTAGTAACTCACCAGTAATAACACGTGTACCTTCATAGTAGTAACCAACCAGTAATAACACGTGTACCTTCATAGTAGTAACCTCACCAGTAATAACACGTGTACCTCCCTCGAAATAACCTGCCAGTAATAACACGTGTACCTTCATAGTAGTAACCCACCAGTAATAACACGTGTACCTTCATAGTAGTAACCTACCAGTAATAACACGTGTACCTTCATAGTAGTAACCCACCTGTAATAACACGTGTACCTTCATAGAAGCAATCTTACAGTAATAACACGTGTACCTTCATAGTAGTAACCTGCTAGTAATAACACGTGTACCTTCATAGTAGTAACCCACCAGTAATAACACGTGTACCTTCATAGTAGTAACCCACCAGTAATAACACGTGTACCTTCATAGTAGTAACCAACCAGTAATAACACGTGTACCTTCATAGTAGTAACCCACCAGTAATAACACGTGTACCTTCATAGTAGTAACCCACCAGTAATAACACGTGTACCTTCATAGTAGTAACCCACCAGTAATAACACGTGTACCTTCATAGTAGTAACCTGCCAGTAATAACACGTGTACCTTCATAGTAGTAACCCACCAGTAATAACACGTGTACCTTCATAGTAGTAACCTACCAGTAGTAACACGTGTACCTTCATAGCAGTAACCTGCCAGTAATAACACGTGTACCTTCATAGTAGTAACCCACCAGTAATAACACGTGTACCTTCATAGTAGTAACCTTCACGAGTAATAACATCGTGTACCTTCATAGTAGTAACCCACCAGTAATAACACGTGTACCTTCATAGTAGTAACCAACCTGTAATAACACGTGTACCTTCATAGTAGTAACCCACCAGTAATAACACGTGTACCTTCATAGTAGTAACCTGCCAGTAATAACACGTGTACCTTCATAGTAGTAACCCACCAGTAATAACACGTGTACCTTCATAGTAGTAACCCACCAGTAATAACACGTGTACCTTCATAGTAGTAACCCACCAGTAATAACACGTGTACCTTCATAGTAGTAACCCACCAGTAATAACACGTGTACCTTCATAGTAGTAACCTACCAGTAATAACACGTGTACCTTCATAGTAGTAACCCACCTTCATAATAACGTGTAATACCTTCATAGTAGTAACCCACCAGTAATAACACGTACCTTCATAGTAGTAACCCACCAGTAATAACACGTGTACCTTCATGTAGTAGTAACCCACCAGTAATAACACGTGTACCTTCATAGTAGTAACCTTCACCAGTAATAACACGTGTACCTTCATAGTAGTAACCCACCAGTAATAACACGTGTACCTTCATAGTAGTAACCCACCAGTAATAACACGTGTACCTTCATAGTAGTAACCCACCGGTAATAACACGTGTACCTTCATAGTAGTAACCCACCAGTAATAACACGTGTACCTTCATAGTAGTAACCTGCCAGTAATAACGTGTACCTTCCTAGTAACCCACCAGTAATAGTAACCTTCACCAGTAGTAACCACT